TCAACCTGGGTCCGCACTGAAGGTGATGAAATTATTCAAACGAACCATCTTTATTCGTCGGGCGTTATACAATGTCGGAAGTCCAATCGTGGATCCCCTCGTATTAAGGGGTGGACGGGCCAAGCAACGGTGCCAGTGGCTGAGTTTTTTCGAATTGTTTGGTCCACACTTGTACTCCAAACAATTCCTGAAAGAAGTTTAATTGTAGAATTATTTTTGATGCTTACTGTTTTGGGGTGTAACTAAGGAATGGCCGAACAATAGGCCGGGCCCTTTGTTAAAAAGGATTTATCAATAAAAATAAAAATAAGTATATACTCTTATTTATCGCTTTTGCGTTAACGATGATGCAAATTCTGCTGCCAGTATCTTTGTATGTAAATTTTACAAAAATTCGGAAATTTTGATTCCAGATTATTACGCGTTTGTTACATACATTGCCTAGTTGAGCATTAGTTGGTTAGTTGTTTCTTTTAAAAGGTATTTTTCTGAAATAAACTGTATTTACGAGCTATCTTGAACAGGAACCGCCAAAGGTGAATAAGCATTGTGGATACTGGAGGCATTTGACCTTTTATCATTGAATAATCCGATGCAGTATGGTCAACGAAAAAAATAAAAACAAGAACATTTTTGATAACAGGCCTTAATATATAAATTCTCTCAGTCGAAACTTATGTAAAGTTCAACGTTAGGATGTAGTATGCAAGCAATAACTAAATTTATATTTACATTCATACGTCTTTTTTAATAGTATTACCGAATTTTTATATACATTTTTATTAGAAATATATAGAACACTGTATTTATGAAGTGGCGTTAAGACGCAGCGAAAAATACTTTAGGGTAGGTGAACGCGTATCGTAAGTCCTCATTTAAAAAGCATAGCACTATAAACGACCAACCATAACAGATGGAATTTCAAGGATGCGGACAGTTGTACTTGAGTGATAACCATTGGATAAATGAGGCTGGCTAACGGTTATCGTAATTAATAAAGTAAAAGGCAAAAAATTATATCCACAAGACTAACCTTTCCCATACTAGTGAACGCATATCTTATTCAATCGACATGAAGTTATACTTGTCTATAATGCTGGAAAACAACCCGACTAGTTCCTTTCCTAAGAATGAGAGCAAACAATATAGAAAAACGTTTTTTCTGCGTTTGGCGGTAGTTATAACGGAGTTAATGCAAAGGAGGAGTTAGCTAACCGAGACATGCCAACATTGTGGCTTAGAATTTTCCTGATTGCAGCCAAATCGGCTATTTCAAAGCATTTGCTATTTTTCATACCGTGTCCTGATTTGCAAATCATATGGATGAACCAATATTTTGGATTTAAGGTTAAGGTAAACTAATTACAGTAAACCATATCCCAAGTGCGCTTATACGGTGATTTGTTTTGTCACAAATCTTGCTCAATTATTAACTTATCCGGCTTTTGGAAATAATTGCCACCGATTGGAACAAGCCAGACAGTCAAAATTTGAATATGTTTTACCAGAAAATTGGAAACTGTAAAGATATTTATGTAGTTTTTCTGTCCGGCTTACGTCCCAGATAGATTATTTTAAATTTACTTGTACAAAAATTTATGCTTCTTTTCCAACAAAAGCAAACATAACATATCAGCTAATTTTTCATGCACAAGACTGACTAATTTACCTTTACGTCTTCGCCGTCTTTACATTCAATTTGATTAGTCAGCACTTCTAAAATTGACAGGTGAAAATGCTTTCCTTATGGCAATAGATGCGAGAAAACACTGTTTGATTTTATGTTCTTACAAAATTAGCTTCATTCAGCGCCCTACTTCAACACATTTTATTGCAAAATCGGTATTTTTTCTGACAGTCAAAATACAGGATTTTTCCTCGAAAATGTCTCAAAAACGGCTTTGCAGCCAAGCTGCCTCTGGAATCTCTGGAAATCTTACACTCGACGTTAAATTCCTGACTTTTGTTTTCTATGTTAAAATGACAACTCTGACATCGGCCAACATTAAAGAAAAAGAAAGAGTTTTCATGTTTTCTTTTTGATTTAGATATGTAATGAGATATATCCAGTAAGCATTCCTGTACAGGCCTAACGATAAATACCCGACTAGGTACGTTAGTCGAAGTTTGCTTCTTAAATGCCTATATGGGTATCATCGTTGAACTTCAAATTAGATCAAATGTATAAATAACAATAGCTAGACCATTGCGGCTCAACGGTCGTTTTTACGTATAAACGATTCAGTCGCAAATTTAGCTTGACTTATTTTCTAGAAGTAGGACGTGAGCATTTCATTTTATTTACTTACTTTTTAGAATATTCGCTTTTTTAAATTGCATACACTAAAGGGTAACTCATTTTGGTTGTATTTATTGACCTATTTATGGAAAATCTAAATTTTAGCAGGCGTTCCAATTTCAAAAGCTTCCAACTTCTCACTAACACTAATAACTCCCACGCAAAGCTGTCACTCACTGTTATTAAATCAGTGGGCATCACATAATATGTTTTTCAATCGCATTATTACAGTTGCAGATAGTGAACTACACAAGTAGGCAATTTTTTTTTGCAAAATATGCTTAACAATTTTTAGTCCTTTTAAAGTAGGTTACTCTCTTCTATAGTTTAAATCTATTAAAGGTATGCCCGCTGAATAAAAAAATAAGACTTTTGAAAAAAACCTCAATTCAAGATTTACATAATTAACACTGGTCACGCGTGGAGCAAATTTTGCTGAGACATTATTTAGTACCATGACACTGATTCAGTCATGTTATCCGTATAAATTATTTTTAGATATTTAGTCAATATTAACATTATTATCGACGTATTTAGCATAGCTCACGATAATTATAAACTCCCCATGGCTCGGAATGCGGTAAGTAAACAAAAGTTTCGTAACGTTGATGGCCATACGAATGAAATATTAGTTCCTGTTTGTGAAAACATTATAAGTATTGACGCTTTTCGCGGCAGTCTCTATATTAAATTATTACAAAATTATTAGGGAAAAGTTTATACATCTATAGTGCTTTCTATAATAAGCATAAGAATTTCAATTGGCACACTGTAAAAGTAAGGAATTATATGACAAAAAATAATTTGTGGACTTTATTCGTTTGGGTAAAATACTTTTTGATATTCACACACTTAAATGTTAACCATGTGTGAGAACTGTTCCGAACATTGAAATTTATTGACTATGGACTATATTAGTTACTTTGAGGCGATGGTGCATAAAGTATATAAAATGTTTCCACTGATGCTGAAGTAGCTTGTTTATGTTTGCCCTTAAACTAATTTATTTCTCGGCGTTACAGGACGATGCATTACAAAATTCATGCTGTCCCACATTAAAAAATTTCCATAGTATTTTGGGACTCCACACAGTGAAAAGTGGTATGGGTGAAGTGAGTTCGGAGGCCATTATGAGATTCCAATCGATGTAATGGATAATTCTGTTGAACTCTTTTAGAACTATACTACGTTCAACTGCTGAAGGACCGATGCAGCCTTACGGAAAGCGTATCCTCAGTTTGAGTGAGACCTTCAACTTCCCCGTAAGTCGCATACTTAATGTCGATGCTTATAAAATACCAGGATGCCTGTCAAGTCGACATACCGATATTTTCAACAAACCCTCCTGCTATCTACGCGGCCGACTTCAAACCACAGGCCAAATATGTCTTCGATATTGAATTTCGCAATCAGGATAAGGTACGCTTAGTATTTGTTGACTATTTTTTTCATCCAGGTTCCACGGTCCGTTAGAGTTGACCAAAATGATTCTGCCTACTTCAAAATAATTGGTCGAACACGGAGTTTTACGAAAATTGCCACTGGACTTTCCGCACACGTTCGCATCCAGTTTTCTCCTGAGGAGCTCAAGGATTATACACATGAGCTAGTGTGCACAACTGATCGCGAGGTCTTCTCAATTCCTATCTATTGCATTGGAAGACGTTCTTCTCTTGAGGGGCCGAAGAGCATCACGTTCGTCAACTGTCCGGTAAAGCAGACTTTGGAAAAAGCAATCAGCTTGCGGAATACGGGGGAAAGTGCCTTTGAATTTATCGCACACACATTTGGGTAGCTTCCCACAACAAGTGCCTTTGACTTTTCTGTAGCTCTTTGTCTGCTTATCCGCATAAAGGTGTGATCGACGCCGGCTGCAGCTTTCAACTTCTTTTACAATATACGCCCAAAGAGGTTGGACCTCAATGCGAAAACATATATTTCGAAGCTGAAAGAGGTATATCGGATTGGAATGTCTGTTTATTATAATTTATTATTTTTATTCTTTATAAGGTGATGGGCTTTGCACGCTAGCCAGGACTGAGGCCTTTGAAGTTCCTGTCACTCTTTCGGAGTCCGAGCTAACCCAGATGCAGACACTCATCGGTACAAAATGTTCAAGGAGTGTATTCATTGAAAATCGAAGCGAATACTCTTTAAAATTCCGATGGACCTTCGGAAAGTCACATAAAACCAACAAAAGTACTCGATCAATAGATAGTTCGCCCGAAAATGACGATTGTATGAGTGCGGATATGAGCACTAGTGATGGCGATGAACTTAACGCAGTGAGTTTGTTTATGTTTTTTTGCCTACTCTTGAGAACCGCAGTCCAAAAATTAGGCAACTATCCGCAAACCAATCTCGTTTGTTTGCAACATAAATGGAGGGGTGCAGTCCTCTTTTCCTTAACCATAAAGTCTATTTTGCAGCTAATCGTTCAAGTGCCTTCGTTCGTTCTTAATCAATCAGCAGAATAGAACCCTTCGTAGTTTTAAATAGAACGCATCCAGATCCTCCGAAAATTGCAAAGTTTGCAGAATTAATTGCAAATACTAATTAACATACCATCTTGGCCCTGAAGGCCCATTCAAAACATTACGCGATTCTGTACTGCGTTTGCCGCAAACAAAGGGAAAGGCTGATGCAATAAAGTCACCGGTTCCGAGCCATGAACGCACCATAGGCTACTTGCTAGGGAAGCCCTCCCGATCCCACGCCAAGCAGGTGCGAAGCGAAGTATTTGTATTCTGGTGAAATGATGAAGTCGAAAGCAATTTTTTGCCTGAAACATCTTTTTCACCAAGTAAGCACACTGCAGTGCTAAGTATGGAGGAACAAAAACGCTATTAATAGAAACGTTTGGAGGAAATATAGTGAAAAAGCACTCCATTCAGCGGAAACAGAGTAAAACCAAAACAGAGCTGAACAAACCAGTGCCGGCTCAGGGGGAAGGGCGAAAGTAAAAGGATGTAAAGGTATCTAGGAGGTCGTCCAGCTCTAACAAATCAAGTTTCTACCTAAAGGATAGTAAAAATGAAACCAAAGGCAAGATGAGACCAATAAAGTCGAGTGCCACAGGATTGGCTGGCTGGAAGTCCGGCTGTGGCAACGAGAAGTACAAATTAGTCCACTGAATCCAATCCGGCTAAGTAAAATGTAAGTGCTCGTCATACTATGCTAACGAATTTGCAATGGTTTACGATTCACGGCCTCCGCAGTTTGTCCTAGCAATCAGCTGTGGGTAGAAAATAGTATAAATTGCAGATCATGAAACCACAAAAACAAAAACAAATGAGTAAACATAATATGCATTAGAAGAAACCCTGTCTATGGAGGACGGCAGCCACCATGAAGATACAAGTACGATTGAAATCAAAATTAAGACCAGCAAACCTCTCTCAAATTAGTATCTCTATTTAAGCGTTCAAATTATCTGAAATAAAAAGAATGAGTTGAACATCTTTTGCGAAATGCATACTAAATTTATTGTTATGACTGAAGAAGCATGTATCCTCGAACTGAAAGTAGGCCTAAGTCAACAAATAAAGCTTAATAGAGGCAGTAGAATGCATAAGAAGTTGGTTTCACTAGGAAGGAAGTAAAAAAACTGGCGCTGGACACGACCGCTTCAAGCATTATCGAAGCGATTAAGTAAAAAAGAAACTAAATGTCTCTGTAGAGACTAATCCCATCAAATTCTAAGCACCTCCAAAATAGAAAGATGAGGAGAAACTAAGTACTGCCTGATTAATTGGTAACAGTAACACCTTGAGGATAAGCTGGGATCCTAGGTATAGATTTGATGGTATGCTATTTAGTGTGGCTTTTGGTGAGTTCTGTTTGCAGCATCTATGTTGTCCAATGCGAAACAGGTGGGACAAACATGTTGTCATATCGATCTTACATTCCAAAAAGAAATAAAAAGGCGGGAGAAAAAGTAGACCCCAATATTTCATTAGATTCAAGTGACAACATGCTCACGACGTAGAAATCTGCCTTTTTTGTGCCAGGACGAGGTGAAAAATCTAAAGAATTACTTTGGTAAAATATGTGGAATCAAAATCTGGGTGTCTAAGTTGATAAGTTTTGCCGTAGAGTGACATCAAAGATTGTTAGAGAAGAGTTGAAGGTTATTTTCGAAGATCAATCCGGGAAACATTTAAGTCAAAGGTACCTGAAGGACGCAGGCGCAAAAGATTTGCCGCAAAGATTAAAGGACAGTTAAAGAGAATAATAAAGTTGTACAAGGTGTTTCTGTAACTAATAGGGGGCAAGAGTCATTTGATTTCAGAAAACAGAGATATAAGCAAAACGTCGGCCTGTGAGATGCAGTCTTTTTTTGTAAGCGCAACAAAATAGTCGAATAACTACAAAAGTGAAAACTGGTGTTGGAATCAAAATTAGCAACCGTTCCGCGAATCGTGCCTACTGAATGCAGTCCACAGCAAAAGGAAAACGCCACTCCAATTAAGAAACACAAGAAAAAAAGCTTTAACCCAGAGTGTTCCAAACGGTCGTTATCGAGAAATCCTAATGGGCAATATGAGAATTTTGGCCACCACATCTAGTCCATAGTGTGGGCATGTTAGTTTGCCGGTCTCAAGATAGCCTCTGTAGCTGGAGTAAAACGTTCTGAATAGAGTTGAACACTTCTACCTGCCTGATTATGAATATAGACACTTCACGACAAAAGTAAAATAAAATTTGTCAGCAAAGACTCCTCAAATAAATTTCCTCGAAAATTTGAAATTACACAAAAAACGTTTTTCTACTGATGGCCTCCGAAACGTAGGGCAGCATGGCTATGACATGAACACTAACTTTAGTGAGCGCCACACAATGCACACTTACTGACTTGTACGTAAATAGCTTTTGCAAAATTCGGAGGCCTTTACTCGGTCATATTAAGAGAACCCTATATAGTCTTCTAAGTCATGGTCAGAGCGGCGCATCATCATCATAAGAGTTCCGAGGCCTCTCACAAAATTGGTTTGGTTTGTGGTAAATTTCATTCCTCAAAATAATAAGTAGGATGAGAGAAACATGAGTTTCGCTTTCCAGACGGTGAACGGCTTGAACTGAGGCGTTCACCTTAGACACGTTTCCCAGTCATCTCCAGGATCGGACTTTCGACGGTACTCGGTGTTTGGACAGATTTGGGACAATCCCATTGACCTGATTATTTAAAATTTGACGGCCTTAAATCCACGACAGCCAGGGCAGGGTTTGAATGCAGCCAACGGCTAACCATATAAGCTACGAGGCCCCACCAGGAGTCATAATTGTAACCCCAGTTGATTTAAGTTACGCGCCTGGCCTACTACAACGTATTGAATATATCAAATCTGATACATTAAATGGATTTCCCAAATGCTCAATCTTTAGTCTACCAGATTGCTAGCAGGCACACTTAACTAATTTCTGATTTGACAGACTTGAAATAATTCCTTTGGTCAAATTTAGTAAAAATCAGCAGTCTCGAGGATTTTATTAAATTGGGCAGGTAAGTTGAGCCATATGCGATTAAACTCCGGTTTCCGGTGGGGCCTCGTAGCTCAGGTAGTTAGAGTGTTGGCTATATTTAAGCGTTGGCTTTATCGTGGTCTCTAATCTCACCGAGGCTGTTGAGTTTTATACAACCGGATAAAGACTTCACGATAAAGTCAGATACAAGGCGCCTGATGTATTTAAAAAACGCCGAGACAATCACAATCTTATATAGTAAACCGTGCTTCAGAGGTGGGGCTAGGGCGGACGCGAGTAATCCTTGGCGGATTCCTAGTTAGGACTATTAAAGTGTGCTACACAGACTACTTGTTTTATTTTAGTAATCATGCCGTGCACAATGCATAAATTCCCCAGTGCGTTAATTTAATAGCCTTTTGCTCTAATGAACTATTTTAAATGCTGTAGTGTATTATCGAGAGCAACAGACCGACGACATATCCCGTAAGCGCAATACAGAGAACTTGCTGCTTGTTGGAAGTTAAATGAATATTGCGCGGTTATCCCACTGTAGCCGGTGGATTTTGGCCCAAATATTCACATCGAATTTTAGATTTGCGCCGATAAACATTCGTTCAAGCTGACTGACTCCAAGTTGGCGATTAACTTCTGCGGAAAGTAAAAAACAGCAACCAAACGCACTTCAAAAATATCACGACGAGCTAATAGTCGCGGCTAAAAGGACTACAGTCGACCTAATACCTTGGCCCTTGGCATTAGATTGTAGTGGCTCCTCAACGTAGCCCTCGTTTGCGTGATGCCTCAAAGTTTCTCCCCGAAGATTGGAATGTGCGGAGATAGTGCCAACTTCGTGTACGGTCCACGTAAAAGTGTGTTTAGCTTTGTCAGCCACTGCGTGCACGTTCGTATTTGCTCTTTTCGATTTTTCCGTCCATGCGTACATGTTCGCTGCTGGATAAAAGGGTAAGGTAGATACAACAAAAGCCTTCTTCAACACCAAACCAATTATGCGAAGTTCACTACTATAGCGGTCTCATAATGCACGCTATTATTAACGGATTCTCACTTCGTTGCGTTCAAGTCTAACTAGTGGATGCCTGTGAGTGATGCACAAACTGGTCGACTTTAAGCGCCACCTAGTGAGCAGTCTGGTAGATTTGCTGGACCAACACGGGGGTCAAATCAGGACACGGCGGCCGTTATTTGGGAAGCGTTCCCACAAGAAATTCCGAACCTGGGGGCGTTGGTGGCACGAGTAGGTGCAGGCTCCGCCATCCGTGGCCTTCATGGCACTCCCACTCCATGAGATATGAGTCAGGCCTAACGGATCCGGTCGTCAGGGTTCGATCCCACTTCCGGTCTTCTTGACTCTGTTTTGATACCGGACTCGGACGGGTGAGGGAAGAGAGAGAGGGTGCGGTAGATGCAACGTAAGTCCACTATCACTTAAAACTTATAATCGCGTAATTCAACGCCTCTGTATCACAAGACTATGCAGCAGATGTTGGACTTCATCAGAATCAACGGCCAAACTGTCGGTTGGCTTTAACTCTACTGCTCAAGTGGAAATGTTTTGCCGTTCAGCAGGAAGGCCTCATTCATCAATCGGTTAAGTTATTTCAAGTATGCGAACCGGGAGTTACACTGAACCACAAGAAATAAATCAAAAGCCTGAAGGTCTACGCAGAGAAGAAGAAGACTCGATCGCTTGGACAATGCGTTTATTCGCCTGAGGTTTCGACATCCGTCGCGGACTCCTCATCAGAGACATGAGTAGGAAACAATAGCAGAAACGGTCTACGCAGAGTTGGCTGGTAGATGTTAGTTGAGATAGATGAAAGCTGTAAAGGCCGGAAAAGTGTTGCTGAGACAGGGAACTGGTTGCACTGGCGCAAAATACGATTGAATTAACTTTATGAAACAGGCCAAGTTGGTTTATGGCCCTGAAATACTGTCTTTTTCCGTATCGCAGTAGAGCCTACTGTTGTGTATTTCATTGCTTTACAAAAAATCCCTACCGCGAAGCTAACATTTCAAGATTTTAAATAGGCTTCACAAAAAAGAGTTACCCTTGGATTTCACACTTCACACTTTATGTGTAAATCCGCTATTTATACTTTAAACTTGTTTGCATAATACCAAATTACTTTTCAGAATAGTGAAAGATAATGGTGCTCACAGGGTTATTTATTTATTTCTTGACCCTCCAAATTCAATGCAGTAACGAATTATCTGTAAATAGCTTAGTCACTCAACAACTTCCCCTTTCTTTCAAGTCCTTTCAGAGTTATCACATGAAGAGCAGTCGTTCTGCCACCCTGTCTATCGAAGATGGCGCCTTTATGATTGAGCCAAGCCACGGGGAGGTCATGTTTGGCACGAGGAGAGAGATTCGTATAATATTTTCTCCAACTTACGCGAAAGCGCACTCGGCACTCGCCCTCTGCGACATCGAAGGTCGCCAACAGGCTCTGCCTCTACAACTTGAAGGACAGGGGATGGGCCCCCTGGTTAAATTCTCCTTCCGTTCCCTCGACGTTGGACAGATCTTTATCAGTGCTCGGCATACCTACGAGTTGGTCGTGGCTAACAGCTGTGAAATCGATGCCATCTTTTCGGTGAAGGCGCAGGCCTCGTCTGGCTTCAGTGACTGTTTTTCCTTTTCACACGACGAGGGTCTTATTAGCCCTCAGGACTACCAGGCTGTAGACATTACCTTCTGCTCACCTGACCGGCTGGGCAAGTTCAACGAGAGTTTCGAATTCCTCTTTGACGGTTCACCGGACCCAGAAATAATAACTATTAAGTAAGTTTC